CTGCAGTCTCTGCAGTCTCTGGAGTCTCTGGAGTCTCTGCAGTCTCTGTAGTCTCTGCAGTTTCTGGAGTCTCTGGAGTCTCTGCAGCCTCTACAGTCTCTAGACTCTCTGTAGTCTCTGGAGTCTCTGGAGTCTCTGCAGCCTCTACAGTCTCTAGACTCTCTGTAGTCTCTGCAGTCTCTAGAGTCCCTGGAGTCTCTGTAGCTTCACAGTTGATCCAGTTCAGTTTAGCTGCATTAAGGTGAGTCAAGGTGGATTGAGGTATTTGATCCAGGCCTTTCTCTGCTTGTAAGGAGGACTTTGGTGAAACAGTCAGGTGTGTTTCAGGTGTTAAACACCTCATTGTGTTTGTCAGTATTGTTTGCTTTCTGATTAATTCAGAGTCAACTGCTATCACACTGCTCCTTCACCTCGCTCAAAGCTCCGCCCCCTTACACCTGACCACCTTTATATCTGAGACGCACACACAGCAACCTCAATTCACTTACAGATCACACCGCAGCCAGACTCTCAGCAGACGTTTGGTTCTAGGTGGACAGACGTTTGGTTTTAGGTGGACAGACATTTGGTTTTAGGTGGACAGACGTTTGGTACACTTTCAATCAACTTTCAGACTCTTGTCAGACCTTCAGTAGACTCTTGACAGACTCTCAAGATGGCAAACACAGCAGCAGAGCTGGCCAGAAGGAAGGCCCGGGAGGAGGATGGCGCCGGCAGCAGGGCCAACGCCGTCCCCTTTAATCAGCAGGACTTTGAACAGTTGCAGCGCGAGTGTCTTCAGTCAGGCTCGCTGTACTGCGACCCAACCTTCCCCGCAGACTGGGACTCTCTGGGGTACAACCAGCTGGGACGCTACTCCTCCAAAACCATCGGAGTGGAGTGGAAACGACCCACGGTAAACTGAGATGCTGAGTGTGTATGATTACTCTTGTAATTGATTATTGCCGATCAATTCAGTCAATCCAAGTCCAAAATTGGAGAAACAGACACCACAAAATACTTTTCTGTCAACTCACTAATTGATTAAGCGTTCTTCAGGTTTGTGAAGGTTCAACATGCAAACACGGATTCTGTTGTGTCAAAGCTGCTGAGACTGAAATGTGCTGCAAAACCAAAACTAGAAGCCAAAAGAGGCTGAAAGGACCATTAGACAGTCTACTGTGCTTATATAACCCAGTAGTCTGTACAGCAGATACCTTCTATCTTTAGGCCCTCCATTCAGATAGAAAAACACTGAACAGGTAGAAAAATGGAAGAGCA